CAAGGGCTGGTTGATGAGCACAGGAGCAGGACTTCAAAGGGTGGAAATGGCAGCACAATGATTGATCATTTGCTTTCTCTGCAGGAGTCGCAGCCTGAGTATTACACTGACCAAATTATCAAGGGGCTCATACTGGTTAGTCCAAAATTCTATCTCATGAATTTTTATTATTTTTTAAATCATAAAGTTTTGTTTTGTTTAATTTAATGAGTTTAGTGAGTTTTGTTTTGTTTATCAAGGGGCTCATACTGATTTCATATACCACGAGATACAATGGTATTCATCAATGCGTGGGCCATACATAGAGATCCAGAGTTATGGAGTGATCCTGAAAGCTTCAGGCCTGAGAGGTTTGAAAGTGGTGGAGACATGTCGTACAAGCTCATGCCATTTGGACTGGGAAGAAGGGCTTGCCCAGGAGCAGGGCTAGCCCAACGTGTGGTGAGCTTGACGTTGGGGTCTTTCGTACAATGTTTTGAGTGGGAGAGAGTTGGTGAAGAAGAGGTTGATATGACTGAAGGTAAAGGGCTTACAATGCCTAAAGATGTGCCATTAAGGGCTATGTGTAAAGCACGCCCCATCATAGACGAAGTTATGAGATCTTGATCTATCTATGGAAATTATATTTAGAGACAGGGAAACTGTACATGATTGGAGTGTTAATTCATGGATATTATTTTAACTATTTATCATGTGAGCAACGAAAGCTTTCGCATATAGAGTCAAATATAACTTACAATTATTATTAATGGACGTGGAGAGAGAGGAAATTTGAACTTTCCAAGATTAAGCAGATGGGTCACTACTAATTGCTAGATGAGGAGCCACATATTGCTTTGAGCTCTACTACCACGGCCAGTCGGGTGTGAAAGATCCAATCCAATCCACACAAACTGAACGATTCAATTTTAATTGATTTTGATGATTTGACGGATTGAATTGGATGCCTAATTTCCAAAACCAATATGATTGGATCAGATGGTGGATATGTTTATGAGGATCCAATCAAATCCAATCAAATCTAATTAGTTTCATGCTTATTTTACTCATTAGGTAATTTTCATTAAGAAGTTTTTTTTATTCTGTATATAATGAAAAAAAACCTTAATAGCCGTTCGATTCAATGTAAAGTTATTATTGGACTATTGGATTGAACCCCTCATTATAACCCCTTAATATATCCCCTTATTATAGAAACTTTCGTGTCATTCACTAGTTTGGTTTCGGCTCTATCAGGGATAGACTCATGTTTTGACAAACTGGGCTATGGTTTTTTTATTCTTACAATTAGTATATTAAGGTTTAGCCAGCTCATATTGAAATTTTGGATCCGTCCTTGGACACTGTTGCATGCCATGCAAGCCCTGTGTGGATCACATATTGGCTGACGCATGCATTTTTTTATATAATATATATTCCACGGTATATGAAATGAAATTTTGGATCCGTCCTTGGACACTGTTGCGTATATGTTAAAAAGAGAGAGGGCCTTGTAGCCATGCATGATGGTGGAAGATGTCAAACTCCATGTGGGGAAGAAAAGTGGAAATAAAATATTTGACCTTTGAAATTAGTGGTTGGACATTTGAATACGATCCAGCAAAATTTCCACTACATTGGTCATACCATGCTCATCTTTCCTCCTTTCTTCTCAATATGGAAATATTAAAATCAATCTCCAATTGAAAAAGAAAACAACTACTTGATGCTATTTGATTTTTCTTTCTTTTGATCAAATCCTTCATACTTTTCTTCTTTATATATTACTTGGGCACTACTCTCACGTCCATCCCTTTATATATAAATACCACATCTTTAGGCATTGTAAGCCCAAAGAAGCCATCTTCATATCCAAATACAAACCCAAACATATATCACTATCAACCAATTATATCAAGCAAAACAAACTATGGATGACATCTTGTTCTACACATCCCTCACTCTTATCTTCATCCTATTTACCTTCAAGTTCTTGCTCCAACCAAACCGACGTCGTTACAAAAACCTTCCACCAAGCCCACCTTCACTTCCCCCGCCTCTCCCAAAAATACGGCGCTGTTTTTTCACTCTGGTTTGGCTCACGTCGCGTGGTCATAGTCTCCTCACCGTCCGCAGTCGAAGAATGCTTCACCAAAAACGACATCGTTTTAGCCAACCGCCCTCGCTCGCTCATGGGCAAGCACTTTGGCTACAACCACACTTTCTCAACTCGCTTGACAAGTTGGGCATGCATGACGTCTTTGCTCCAACTTGAGGGGGAGTGTTGGCGAGTAGAATATATCCTATTCTATTTGTGTATTATTTATTTTTTCCTTTTGTATAGATATTATGTAATTAGGATTCCACTTATTTCCTAATTAAACCCTACTAGGGTTTGTAACCTGTATTATAAATACCTCCTTTCGGAGAATGAAATATATCTGAAAATATTCTACCCATATTGTTTGACTAATGTACCACGCGGTACCATGGTATTGGTCAATGCATGGGCTATACATAGAGATCCAAAATTGTGGGATGATCCTGAAAGCTTCATACCCGAGAGGTTTGGGAGTGGTGATGATTTGTCAAGCCAACTCATGCCATTTGGATTGGGAAGAAGGTCTTGTCCAGGATCGGGCCTTGCCCAACGTACGGTGGGCTTGACATTGGGATCATTGATACAATGCTTTGATTGGGCGAGAGTTAGTGCGAAGGAAATTGATATGACAGAAGGTAAAGGCTTCACAATGCCTAAAGTGATGCCATTAGAGGTAATGTGTAAAGCACGCCCGATTATCAACAAGGTTCTGATAGTTTGATCTAGCACTAATAATAATATAGATATTTATAATGATGGGTTTTGGGTATGTGTGTAATGATGGGTTTTGGGTATGTTTATAAATGGGTTTTGAGTGTGTGTAATGATGAGTTTTGGGTATGTTTATAAAGTGTTTTGGGTGTAGGGTATTTTTATAATTTCAGCCCCCATTTTGGGTATTTTAGTGAAACTCCCTAATAATTTTGGGAATTATTTCAGTTGTATGTTTTATGTCATAGTGAGTATTTTATTTGGCAAGTAAATGCATCGATTGTCTCTGTTGTATCATTGTGAGTATATATATTCATGGAAGACTTTGGGTCATGAATAAATCGAATCGGTATTTCCTTTCTAGGTGGAGGATTATATATTGGAACAGAATTTTCTTGACAATATAATAGTCAAAAAATATGGGTAGAATATTTTCAGATGTATTTCATTCCCCGAAAGGAGGTATTTATAATACAAGGTTAAAAACCCTAGTAGGGTCAAACTGGAAAAACAAGTGGAATCCTAATTACATAATATCTATATAAAAGGAAATAAAGAAAATAATATCTTAATAGAATAGGATATCTCTCGCTAACAATAATTGCATACAAATTAATTTTCAATTTGCATCTTCAGGTAATATTATTCGCTGGTACTGATACATCACTGTAATATCTTATCCCTTTTGTTGATTTATTGTGTAATATATTGTCATACGTACCTCACCACAAAGTTATTGGATATGAAGGACAATACATCACAATCAAAATTAGTTGAGGCATTTGGTTTGAATTGAAGAGGGGGGTAGGAGTTGTTTTCTCACATCTTTTGAGGGTTAAACAATGACATTCAAAATTCTGACTAAGTAAAATGGTTATTTTTTTCGATGATCTAATATAGACTCCTACAATTTCTATTTTCTAAACATAAACCCATCAATCTTGAAATCTATGTATAAAACTCAAATTCAAACTGAAATGCCCCATGGGATATAAAAGGTCAGAGTACTCTTACATATTTACATTGTTTGCCACTAGACTTCATATAAGTTAACCCGACGGTTTTCAAACATGTCATTGGAGAACTCACAATGTCTAAAACTATGTCATTGGAAGTCATGTGTAAAGCGCGCTCCATTGTCAACAAGGTTATGATGACTTGATCTACAATTTAGGATTATGGTAAAGGAAATAAGATAATAAAATAATTAGAATATTCAACATATTAATTCAAAGAATAATAAAGACAAGTGCTTCACTTTAATACATATTTTTACTTTTAGGCTTATTATCACAAAACATCTAGCCGTGACACTGGAATGGGCATTGTCTAATCTACTTAACAATCCGCACGTGTTAAAAAAAGCTAGAGCTGAGCTAGATGCCAAACTTGGCCAAGAAAACTTAGTGGATGAAGCAGACCTCTCTAAACTACCCTACCTCCAAAGTATAATTTCAGAGACCCTCCGTTTATGCCCAGCAGCTCCATTGCTAGTACCTCATTTTTCGTCCGATGACTGCACTATTGGAGGATTCGATGTGCCACGTGACACAATGGTATTGGTCAATGCATGGGCTTTGCATAGAGATCCTCAACTGTGGGATGATGCTGAAAGTTTCATGCCTGAGAGGTTTGAAAGTGGTGACGATTTGTCCCACAAACTCATGCCATTTGGGCTTGGAAGAAGGGCTTGCCCTGGAGTAGGCCTGGCCCAACGTGTGGTGGGGTTGACGTTGGGGTCACTAATTCAATGCTTTGATTGGGAGAGAATCAGTAAGGAGGAGATTGACATGGCTGAAGGTAAAGGACTCACCATGCCTAAAGTTGTTCCGTTGGAGGCTATGTGCAGAGCACGCTCGGTTATGACCAAGGTTCTATCTTGATCTGTGGATATATTACTTATAATTAATGTCGTAATAAAATAGGAAATTAGCTAAAAGACATGTATACTGGAGCATTGTAATTTTGAAGAAATATTTTATGTCTTCCAATAAATTCATTTAACTTCCTTTTGGGGCTTCATTCATTTCTCTCTTTTTATTTAACTAGTCCTTATAGGTTTGTCATGAAAAAAAGATTCCATGTTTTCTATGTCTATCATTTCTGTCTTTGATTGCTTTTCTCGTGAAATCCAGATCCGTCGAAACCCTAAAGATCTGAATGACTTCGAATGTTTTTTTCATTGCGCCTCTTCTCTTCCTCTCAGTTACTCTCTCATCTCGCCCGCCTCTCTTAGACGCTCTCAGTCTCACCTCCCTCAACTGTGTATTTCTGGTAATTTAATTTTCTATATTTTTTGTTCCTCTCAAGTTCTTTATTTTTTTCCAGATTTTTCTCACCCGATCTCTCACTCAGTCTCTCAGTCTCCCTCAGCCGGTTTCGCTCTCTCTCAATCTCCCTCAGCCAGTTTCGCTCTATCTCTCTCTCAGCCACTGTCGCTCTCTCTCAGCGGCTCTCTCTCAGTCTCTCTCGATCTCTCTTAGTTTGATTTGAGGTATTAATATCAGTAAAATATTTTCATACTTTTGGCTAGACCATTTGTAACTTTTCTTACTTTAAATATCTTATCTTGTAGAAAAGATGAGGAAAAGCTGGCTTTCTCTGCACTTTTAAAGCTATCCAGATTCCCACAGGTAAAGGTTTCCAGAATAACTTTTGGCTACTATTGCTTCCATCTTGAGTAAGACAAGGCCGTGATATTTATAGGTTGTTGAACTTACTGAAAATCAACCAACTTAAATTTCTATTAGGTTATTGGATAGGGCATATAAAGCACAATCATGAACCCTTGGATCCTCTGTCATATTTCTATTAGGTTTCCAGATTTTTCTCACTCATTCTCTCACTCAGTCTCTCAGTCTCCCTTAGACGGTTTCGCCATATCTTTCTCTCAGCCACTCTCGCTCTCTTTCAGTGGCTCTCTCTTAGTCTCTCTCGATCTCTCTCCGTTTGATTTGAGGTATTAATATCAGTAAACCCTAATTAAAAAATTTAGGGATTTTACAATTTTTGTTAATTCTGCTTATGTGATCTGACTTTGTTGTGATTTTTGGTGGACAGAATTGATTTTGGGATCACAAAATTGATTTCTATGATTTTGGTAATTTCTAGTGTTGTAGTAATTTCGCGTAATTCATATGTTTACTAACTGTTTTTTCTTTCTTTGTGCAGAGGTGCAAATCTGATTTGAATATGAAACAACTCATATTAAAATTACATTTGTTTCATATATCCTTTTTGGTCATTTTATATTAGGTAAATTAGTAATTCAATAAATAGTTTAGTAGTATGGTGTACTTGGTTAATTTTAGGGTTCATTTAGCAACACTCCGTGAAATTAGGTTTCTTTATTGAGGTATTTAGTTATATACCCATTCAAAGCCTTATTTTCTTTTGAACTTTGCAAATATGCAAATTGTGATTGAGATTACTCTCACAATTTGCTATGGACTGTAATAATAATTTCTTTATTTGGAGATGTGTGGTGGATGATGATTTGCTATGGTTTTAAGGTTTTTTTTAAGTATTTGAGTGATGAAAACCTTAGATATGCAGAGTTGGAGAAATTGGAAAAACTATACAGGAACTGTCAAAACTTGAATTGTTGAAATCTTATATATATGTATAAGATATTAAATTTAAATTCTTTTTGTTCTTGAAAAAGCTATATGATTTTTTGTGTAGTTAATGGGACAATGTATTGTCATTGTTCCTTTCAAAAGAAAGTATATAATTTCAGTTATAATAGTAAGAAAGACACATTCACTGAAAAAAGAAAAGGATGGAAATAATGGTTATATATTAGGTATTCCTTCAAAATCATCTATGCAAAAAATCACTTGTATATGAATCCATTTCATGGATCCCAAGCCTCTATATTTAGCATCCACGTATTTTAAAAAATCTTAACTATTTGATTAATCTAATGGAAATTAATTATTCCACTTCAGAATAGTTGTATTATATTTAAACTCACAATTTGCACTGTATCAAAGAACAAAGTGGCACCAAAACGGCAATACATAATCAGTATTTATTTTGGTAAATAGTAATGATGATATTGATAATGCATAAGCCAAAAACGGTTTTTTTTTCTTAGAGAAATGAGCCAAAAATGTTAATTACTTGATATCTAGCCTAAAAATTTATTGTGGTTCAATAATTTTCAATATTTTAATAGCAAGCAAAGCTTTGGGGTTTAGGGGTTTAGGGCTTTTCCTTGTACTTATTTTCAAGGTCCTGCAAGTCAAGGAGAAAAGGATCGATGCACAGGAGAGAAGCATGTGTCTTTACCCCTTCTTGAGAATCTGAAAAATATTTCCATGTTTGTATGGTTTGTTGGTCGATATGCAATTAGTCTAATTGTGATTCGACCAAAAAATACATGGTTCATAATATATATGAATGAAGGGATCAATTTACCCATTTGGATAGTAATGAAAATGATATAATTATAAGAGTGAATGGGAAAGAAAGACTGTAGGAGAGAAGAGTAAGTGATTCGGTGTAACAAGTGAGTTTTTACTAACATATAACTACGATGAGGTGTAATACTTAATCTCCATATTAGATTAATTAAATGGTTAAGATTCTTTTAAATGCGTAAATGCTAAATGTAAAGGCTCGGGATCCCCCATTTCATCACTCTATTATGTTGACGTGATTTATTTCCTAAGTTAAATAAAGTGATTTATTTCCTATTCAATGCACTTGCCTTTTCCAGTCTTTGGCACCTGCACTGCATACACAAGAAAAAAAAAGATCACACAAATGTACGAGAAAAAAGAACTTTGATGATTGATGAAGATCTACCAACGAACACGAAAGAAAACAGAACTGACTAATGAAACGAAACACAAGAGTATCGATAAATCAGGGAAATTTACTTTATGAAAAAGAAAAAGAAAAAGGAGTACAGCCGCGCGGCTATACTCTCTATTAAAAATAAAAAAAAAACCCGCCTAGCCCGCCTAGGCGGCCCATTTTTACAAAACTTGAATGGCGTGTTTTGTTTTAGATTTCTTTTTTTCTGGCGGGTCTGGCATCTCTACAAATACTCAAAAATGGAGATCATCCCTCCTGTTGGTGATATGAGATATGGATAATTCTTGGACAAATCAAAGCAGGACATAGCCTCTTCTTCAGGGTTGGTGCGGCCCATTTTTACAAAACTTGAATGGGGTGTTTTGTTTTAGATTTCTTTTTTTCTGGCGGGTCTGGCATCTCTACAAATACTCAAAAATGGAGATCATCCCTCCTGTTGGTGATATGAGATATGGATAATTCTTGGACAAATCAAAGCAGGACATAGCCTCTTCTTCAGGGTTGGTGCTGGGAAGGTCATTGTTCATCAGCTCTAACCCACTCCATGGTCTCCATAAATTAGGGTGAACCTTGGGAGTTGCCTGCATTCAATCAATATCATCAGAATCAAATGACCAACTATCGCTCCGGTTTCAATTTCGAAAGGAAAGAGAGGAGAAATCTAAGTTACAAGCAGTAAGATTTACTCTCTTTTTTTCTCCTGTTTTTTTTATGGCATGTATGTTTGGTGACTTAATGCATTATGTCGTTTGTTTTCTATGGTTTTGTCAGTGTTAGTTATTCGTATAGAATGCAGGCTCAGAGTTAGAGTTTATAAGAAATTATGATTCTTTGCTGTGTTAATAAGATATTAAGCATCTTTATTCATAATTTTGTATTTTGGCAATATAGGGTTTTCTTAATTGAAAATAGGTCTCTCTGTAGTTGAGGTGTTGGTAGTCAGTTTATGTGACTTCTGATCTCATGAGTTTGAGAAGAGTAGAAATTGCCCTGCATTACTAATGCCGGTTACGAGAAGTTAATCCTATGGACCAGAGAAATACTATTTGAGGTTTCGCAAGATTTAATTTTGAATCTGGTTATTTCTGCTAAATCCTTTGCTCGACACAAGAGGTTCCTTATGCAACAACACATACAAAAGTGAATCAGGAGATGATTGCAGGTCAAAGCCAAAAGGTTGGAGGCCTCTCATCTTTGTTTTACATTTGTGATGTCGCAACTACCGGACGGTCGTTCCTAAGGGAAAACCTCCTAGAGATAGTGTGACCACTTGAAGAATACTTAGCTTGCAGAATTTTCAAAAAGAACCTTATCTTTCTTGAAATCAATGGTAAAAATATGCAGGCTCTTTTTGAGCATTTGCAATGCAAGGCAAAGTAAAAATTGATACACAATTTGTATAGGTTAGTATCATATACTTGTGAAAGGGCGGTTCTTTATATGAAAGAGAAAAAAAATCATGGTGAATCATTGAGTGGCCTGATCCCTTTTTGGGTGCCTTGTGTTTTTAATCCCAAAGTGAAGAATTAAAAAGCCAAATAGTTCCTCAAAGAAACCTTGTTATGTCCTGACCTTGGGATGGGGTAGCCTCCCCCCCTAAACACACGCTAGTTCTTTCACTTCATAAACTGCAAGGTGAGTCTTGTTTATGGCAAAGAGGTGCAGCTCATTCTGGTGAATTTGGATGTAAGTATCTGACAATGATCTCAACTCCTTCTCATTTGGAATCTGCAACAATTTGCTTCTCTGTTTTTCCCACCCAGCAGCACCCCACACAAAAATCTGCAGGGCCAAAACGACGTCGTTAAATAACAGAAGTCGCATTAGAGTAGAAGCCATGTCTGAAAAAATGCGGTTCGGTTCTAAATACCGCAAATGCGGTTCGGTTTACCGCGATTGCGGTTTCATTGCGGTAAATTATCGGTTGGTTTTTGCGGTTTTTCGGTTTTTCGGTATAAAATGCCACCCCTAGTTTTCTATGTCTATCATTTCTGTCTTTGATTGCTTTTCTCGTGAAATTAGGTTTCTTTATTGAGGTATTTAGTTATATACCCATTCAAAGCCTCTGTAACCTGCGAAATATATAAGTCAAGGAAATGACAAACTTTTTGGGTTCGCTGCATCACAACATCGAACATGATTTGTTTGTTTTACAAGACAAACAAACTACCTCGTCTGAGTGGAGATTGTATATTACAATGGTGGAATTCCCCATGCCAATAGCAACTATACAGTCATCTCGGGGGTGAAAAGCAAGACATGTTGCTTTGAAAAAGCTATATGATTTTTTGTGTAGTTAATGGGACAATGTATTGTCATTGTTCCTTTCAAAAGAAAGTATATAATTTCGGTTATAATAGTAAGAAAGACACATTTACTGAAAAAAGAAAAGGATGGAAATAATGGCTATATATTAGGTATTCTTTCAAAATCATCTATGCAAAAAATCACTTGAATATGAATCCATTTTATGGATCCCAAGCCTCTATATTTAGCATCCACATATTTTAAAAAATCTTAACTATTTGATTAATCTAATGGAAATTAATTATTCCACTTCAGAATAGTTGTATTATATTTAAACTCACAATTTGCACTGTATCAAAGAACAAAGTGGCACCAAAACGGCAATACATAATCAGTATTTATTTTGGTAAATAGTAATGATGATATTGATAATGCATAAGCCAAAAACGGTTTTTTTTTCTTAGAGAAATGAGCCAAAAATGTTAATTACTTGATATCTAGCCTAAAAATTTATTGTGGTTCAATAATTTTCAATATTTTAATAGCAAGCAAAGCTTTGGGGTTTAGGGTTTAGGGGTTTAGGGCTTTTCCTTGTACTTATTTTCAAGGTCCTGCAAGTCAAGGAGAAAAGGATCGATGCACAGAAGAGAAGCATGTGTCTTTACCCCTTCTTGAGAATCTGAAAAATATTTCCATGTTTGTATGGTTTGTTGGTCGATATGCAATTAGTCTAATTGTGATTCGACCAAAAAATACATGGTTCATAATATATATGAATGAAGGGATCAATTTACCCATTTGGATAGTAATGAAAATGATATAATTATAAGAGTGAAAGGGAAAGAAAGACTGTAGGAGAGAAGAGTAAGTGATTCGGTGTAACAAGTGAGTTTTTACTAACATATAACTACGATGAGGTGTAATACTTAATCTCCATATTAGATTAATTAAATGGTTAAGATTCTTTTAAATGCGTATAAATGCGTAAATGCTAAATGTAAAGGCTCGGGATCCCCCATTTCACCACTCTATTATGTTGACGTGATTTATTTCCTAAGTTAATTAAGTGATTTATTTCCTATTCAATGCACTTGCCTTTTCTAGTCTTTGGCACCTGCACTGCATACACAAGA